TTTTTTTTTTTTGGGGGGGGGGGGGGGGGGGGAGGGGAGAGGAAAAGTACGAGCCAAAAAAAAAATACTCAAAAAACACTTCTCAAAACACTTCTCATATATCAACACTTCGGAAGGATAAATACACACACACACACACAAACACAAAAAAAAAGAAAACAAAAAATTTTATGTTTCAATCCAGCAGAACTCTTTTGTCTCTTTACTATCCTCTTTCTTTTTATTTTTTTCTTTCAGATCAAAACTGAAAATTACACTTTTAATTTTTTTTTTTTTCACACACAAAAACACGCGCAAACGCACAGTCTCCCCCAGTTTTTTTTTTTTTTTTTTTCATTCAATTATAAGAGTAGCCATTAAATATCAATAAACAAAAAGGTGAAAGACTAAAAAAAATTAGGTAAAAAGCAAAAATAAAATTTAAAAAAAAAGTTTAGAAGAACAATAAAGTAATGAAATTGTTGACAGACAATTATCACTGTGATTAATTTCTCGTGTAAAAATTTTAATTACTTTTCTACTATTGGCGTTTTGCCAAAAAACTGCATAATCGTCAAACAATTTTCCAAAAACAACAGTTTCCTTTTTTTTTTTCCCTTTTCTGACTTTTTTTTTTTTTGCCTTTCGTTTATTGCTTAATATCAAATGAAAAAAAATTTTTGGCACATCCGATCAAGCAGCTTTTGCTGGACAGCTTTGGACAGGGGAAAAGGAAGAAAAAATTGACTAAACTATACTCAAACACATTGGTAAACTGAAAGGTGTGTAACAATGATAGTAATAATCACATTAACAATAATAATAATGATAATAATAATAATAATAATAATAATAATAATAATGACAACAATAAACAGTAATAATTATAATTATAACAACATTTATAATTATAATTTTAATAGCAATAACAAATAATAATAATAATCATAAATTTTCACTCAGCAAATCATTTTGCAAAACCACTCGTTTACCTTAAAAATAAATCTGCTGCTGCAAAAAAAAGGAAAAACTTGGAAAAGCAAACTAAAAAAAATTTCTTCCTTTAAAATTTAACATATTTAAGAAAAAAAAAAAAACAAAAGAAGAGTGTATCCTTTAAACGAGCAAAAAAAAACCAATGTATCGGTGCAACCATTTATTCATCTATTCATTTTTACC